TGGGACAGTACAGCACTTTTTAAAGCCCAGAGGCAGAAAGTGCTGTACTGTCCCAATGAAACCAATGTTTTTGGCAGGTAGGCCTGGAAGATTCAATCTTTTTTTTGGCTTTATTGGGACAGTACAGCAATTTTCACCAAAAAGATTGGCTTCATTGGGACAGTACAGCACTTTTTAAAGCCCAGGGGCAGAAAGTGCTGTACTGTCCCTAAAAACCAAGCTTTTGGAAAGGATTACCTTGAAAACAAAAAGCCTTGAAACTAAAGCAATTTTTTTAAAGTTTTTATAGCCGCAATATAGCACTTTTCACCTACAGATTTTTTAGGGACAATAGACCACTTTTGATTGCCATTCTCGGAAAAACCTTGGTCAACGGGGGGGGAGGTACCATATTGAAATATAGGATAATCATAATATTAGAAATATCTTTTCATTTTTATTTCTTTTCGGACTTCGAGTTTTTTTTTTTTTTTTTTTTTATTATTCTTTTCATTCTCCTATTCTTATATGGCAACTAATGACATGAATGTCATATATCATGTTATAGCTTGTGTTCGAGTAGTTGATCTGCTCACAAATTTTTATGTGATTGCGGAGGACGTCTATTTATCACTCTTGAACGGCTGCCTCTCAAGCAGGACTACCAAGTGCTCTGCAGGGAATGAATCAATGGATCCCTATGGTCTTTCAGAAAAAGAATGACAATCCCCAGAACCCAAACCCTAAACCCTAAACCCCTAAACCCAATCCCCAGAACCTGTTCCGCCATGCCCTCCTCAGCACCAGGGATGGGAACTTGCAGTTGCGGGGCCACTTGGCTACAACCTCAAGCCCTACCTAAACCGAACAACTTGAACTCCGAACCTTCCCGTTCCCGGAAAACCAAGGTCCTAAACCCTAAAACCTAAACCCTAGACAACTCCTATAGCACCTGTATAGTATAGCCCCTATAAAACCCCTATTAGAACCCTATATAACCCCTATATAAGCCCTATATAAACCCTATAAACCCTATATAACCCTTGAACAGCACTTGCAATCGCCCAGGCAACGACTGCAGGATGCACCACGGAGTCCTTCAAAAAGATTGTCCATAATCCTCAAGACCCTTGCGTCCCAGCTTTCCTAGGGCCCTCGGGCTACCCGATTGTTGGGAAATTCTTACATAAAGACCCGCATTATCGTATATCGTAGGAATCCGCATAGAAGGGGCGGAACTGTACCCAATGATTCTTAAGTCTAGAAATTATGTTGCAACCTGATCCACCACCCCCTCCCCCCCCCTAACTCTTCCCCCCACGCCAAGAAGGCCTGATTTATATTTATATATATACATATCCTTAAGCCTCAATTTTGGCGAGGGGGTAAGTGGGCTTCGTATTCATAGGGGGGATTGTCAAAATTATGGTCCATTTTTGGGTCCCCTAAATTAGGCCCCGTATTATAATAGGGACCCAAAAAGGGACCAGATTTTTGACTACCACCCATAGAGTGCAGCCGAGGCCTGTGGGTGACTGGGTACTGCGACTTTGCGAAGATTGGCTGCGAGCCCTTGCTGATGAGAGGGAACCACCTGCAGAGTGCTGCTTCCAGGGGCTGAGAGTTTTAGCTTACTGGTTCCTCGTAGGGAATAAGGGAATAGATTTTATGGATCATACTTTCTTATTCCCTACTAACAACCAGTAAGGTAGGGTACAGCAGAGGCCCAAATACCTTGACCAGCGGTTTTGGGGCTTTGTCGGCCCCATCGCTATCTATCGGAGCAGGGCTATAAGGTTGACAAGGGACATATTCTTCCTGACAGCCATTGCAACCATGACCGCAACAGCGTGCGCGCTGAGTAACATAAAGACTTACTCTGCTCAGCTAGATCCTAGACCATGGACCCAGAGCACCACTACATGGGCCTGAATAACTAACGTTAATGCTGACATGTACTTGACAAAATACCACAATACCATGACCTAGGACTATACTTTCGGTAGGTATGCCTAGAATCTATAAACCCTATATCAACCAGCTTCCACTTCCATGTTCTGTTTCATTTGATGTTCCCTTATCCCTGGAATATAAACCCCATGGAATGTAAACCCCAAATCCTATCTTGATACAAAACGGATACTGAAACCAGAAATGCCCAAAACGCAAAGCACCTTCACCTAGGAAGAAAACAAAATCTTCTTGTTGCTATTTGAAAGACGCCCATACCCAAAAAAATAACAAAAAGCCGTACACTCTGAACCCGAAGAACCAAATCCCACGCTTTGAACCCCGAAGTAATCCCCAAGTACTTAAGCCCAAGCGCAATAAGCCTTAGCTCACGCACACCAACTTAATGTGGCACCCTTTTTAATGATAGGGGCCCCCCCCCCCCACCTGAACAATTACCATTCCTGATTAATACGGCGGCCTCCCCTAAAT